TTGTAAACAAACAGTAAGTTAAACGTCGTTTGGAATTTTCTACTAAATAAGGGTATAATAGTAAAAGTAGCAAAAAATGAATTTCAAACCAAATAAGTTTTCTTGTAAGACTTATCTTCAAACAAGTCCATCCGGTGGGACCAGTCTCCAAATTTCTCAAAACTATATCTATAGACTCCAATTATAATGGGACCCCACATGGTGGCTTGAGCACGATGACACAACAAGTCTGTGTGACATTTTTCTCAAGCTAAAACTCCCTTTTAACAACCAACCACAACCTACTTAGAGTCCTTCGGGGTGACCTATCGACATGACCATCTATGTGGCAGTGTTACAATATTCATTATCTACAACTAGTAAACTACCTTGGACTAGAGTGGTCTCTGGTCGACCTAGAATTTTTTTCTTTTTTTTTGCTTAACAAATGAATGTACAGTTATATATCGATGTAACACTCGTCAAATTTATTTTATAGTGTCCACCCACCTAAGTGGCTGTTTAAAAAGCAAGATTACATTTTATTAGTGTATAAAAATTAGGGGATCCCATAAATTTTAAATGACCCCAAAAGTTTCCCAATATTTAGTAATTTAAATATATAAAAAAGATCAGCATCATAATATAAACAACAAGCTAGGGGCGGAGCAAACAAGTTTGGCAGTGGGGGCAATAAAACTAAGTAATTGATAAAAACTATAATGTAAATATTTTTTGAGCAATGTTACTTGAATATAATTTTTTAATCTAATTTATTGATTTAGTCATTTATAATCATTGGATTAATTATAGGTCATAGTATTTGTTAGGACGTGCAGTCAACCCAATGGTTGTAAAAGATTAGGTCAACAAATTAAATTCAAATAACATTATTGATATTTTTCATTGAAATATTAATTTTTAGAATTTTTTTAATTTGATTTCTTTAAAATCTCTCTTTACGGATATAGCATAGATACACGAGATGTGACAAAAAAAAACTTGCAAAAAATCTCTTTTAACCCAATAAATACTAAAAATTATTCACTAGTGAGGTTGTAATTTGATATGGTTAATTTGAGCTTCACTAAAAAAGTTCAATATTTGAGTAGAGATTTTTAGAAATCGATTTAAATTTGATCAGATTGAGTGTCACCTGTCAAATTAATCAGATCTAACCCGAAATAAACCCTAAACTACTCCCAATTTAATAATTTTGGTTAACTCGTTTGTGTAGGAAGGTTACACGAGAAGGTTTTGGCGCCTCCTCCTTCTTCCTTTACTGAGATCGAACGAACATGAACGGCATGAAATATGAGGATGTCAAAGTTACGTTTTGATTGTTTAAAAATTACACTAACTCACTCTTTATTTTATTAAAAATTTATTAGAGACAGGATTTAAAAATTTCAGTGGGGTGTAGCTGAGAGCAGATATGGATGCCTTGCCTATTCAGGTCAGTTCATTTGTATTATAGGCGAAACCATAGTTTAGATAATATGCTGTGTTTGAAGAGGTCTATATAATACAGAGCTTTGAGGCAACTTTTAGTGATCAATAGCTACCAATAAATGGGTATTATGAATTAAGTTGTGCCCACCAAAAAGTGGTTCTTGCCTGATCCAGGTTTTCCTCAATTATTTTTGGAGGGTAAATTACCAAGAGTGTTTTGATGGGGGAAATACATGGGTTTTTTTATTTGAATTCATTGTAGGTGAACTATTGTTGAATAAAATTGAGTGAAACTATAGTAGAATAGAATGATCTCACTTTGTTGTTGCCTTCTGTTAATTTAATGAACAGTTGAGAAAGAACAAGTTTTATTGATTAACTGTTTAACAAAGAGTTGGTGAAATAGATTAGCAATTCTATTTCATCTGTTTGCCCCTTGGTGAAAGCAGAACAAACACTCATATCATATTGTTTTACCTTGCATGAAAGGGGACAAATGAAACCGAAAAACGCAATGAGAAAGTAGAGGGAGAAACCAAATACAAATGGTAGCGGCTAGTCGTGCTGGAAGGTGTATGTGTCACTGCACTGGTGGCTTGTTTTAATGTGCTGACTTCAATAGCAGGAGATGCATGCAAGTATTGGTTTCAGTTTGGCTTGCAAACCACAGGGGAAGAGGGAATTCATGTTACTGACCTATTTTGTAACATGACGGCATAATATTGAGACATTTCCTTCCATTTTACCTTATCACGGATTTAATTTATGAGGAAGAGGGAATCTAGGATTATAGTTCCACCGACTGCCAAACATAATTCTGAGAAGAAGGTGAGCCTGATACTGGATTTTAGTTCACTTGGAACTGGAAATTTATTGAGCAAGGGCCAAATTGAGCTCATGAATAGCAATAATCGAAAGTGATGTTCATTCATTGAATTTATCCACCATTAGATTATAATGTAGTATGTGTTGTCTCAGACTTACCTATAGTTGGCTTGAAGATCTTAACAAAAACACACTGCTATATGTAGGAAATGGTGGAATGGGAGCACAAGAGCCAAGTAGATGGAAAAATGCATGCCTGTGGACACGATGCACATGTCACCATGCTTCTTGGTGCTGCAAGGATACTGCAACAATTCCGGGACAGATTACAGGTGAATGCGTTTATTAAGCAACAGCATTCAAATTATACAACTCATTAGTTCCCAGCATAGTCTCAAATCTAATACAACATTTTCTCTTGTAGGGAACTGTTGTTCTTATATTTCAACCAGCCGAGGAACAGGGTGAAGGTGCAAAAGACATGATCCACGAAGGGGTGCTCGAAAATGTAGAGGCCATATTTGGTTTGCACATAGTGCACAGGTATCCTATTGGTACGGTGGCTGCTCGGCCAGGTGAGTTTCTAGCCGGGTGTGGGAGCTTCAAAGCAACAATCAGAGGGAAAGGGGGTCAGGCAATGATGCCACAACAGTCCATTAATCCCATACTAGCACTTTCTAGTTCTCTAATTAGCTTGCAGAATATTGTTTCCCGAGAGACAGACCCTTTAGATCCTCAAGTATGATTTCTCTTTGACCATTTCCATGATGTCTTAATCAGATTATGTCGTTCATTTGATTGAACTCAATCAAACTGTGTTTTCACACATTGTGGAATTGGATCTTGCAGGTGGTTTCTGTAACAATGATTCGAGGAGGAACTGGATATAATGTTATTCCTGACTCATCTACAATGGCTGGTACATATAGAGCATTCAGCAAGAAGAGCTTCTATGCGCTAAGAAAAAGAATAGAAGAGGTAACTGATAAACAAGCTTTGTGATACACAATTATGTTCATGTTGTTTTCTGTATGCATAATAATACATAATGATTTATGCACATCAGGTTATAAGAGGGCAAGCTGCTGTTCATCGGTGCTCAGCTGAAATTGACTTCTTTGGAAAGGAACACCCCACAATTCCCCCAACCATAAATGATGACAGAATATTTGAACAGGTACAACAGGTCTCGAGTATGATTGTCGGCAGAGAAAACACAAAATTAACTCCTACCTTCTTGGGGAGTGAAGATTTCGCCTTTTACTTAGAAAAGGTACCTGGATCCTTCCTTTTTTTGGGTATAAGAAATGAAAGGACTGGATCTATGCACCCTCCACATAGTCCTTACTTCACCATTGATGAGGATGTGCTTCCAATTGGGGCAGCAATACATGCCACATTCGCATATTCATACCTCTTAAATACAACAAAGAAACACACTATTCATTTTTAGAAGCCTTTTGAAACTTCTCAGTATCTACCCTGCGTCAGTCTTCTCAAACTATAATCACAGAGCAAATTTGTTCCACTCCTATTTATACCCTGCAACAGAGAATTGCATCGTTTCTTGTTTCAAACTATGTGTTCTTGCTTGTTCTTACTTTCTTAGAGAAATATGAAGTGGTGAAGAAAGCATTGATAGTAGATTAATCATATAAGATGCAAGGTGACCACTACTACTTGCTGTGTGTCGATTTCAGGTTCATCCAATTCTCGAATATGTACCTGCCAAACCAATGATTTAGATCAATTGGGCAATTAGCTTCAATTTTACATATTTTTCATGCAATGTAGTCGGAATCAGAGATTCTTCCATTCCATAAGCTGCAATAGAACACGATGAATATCAATTCAATGGCACACTACTTTTAACTTCCCTCTTACAATTACTACATCTGCTAATGCTGACCTCCATACCAACTTGCAATAACATCTTTGACCTGCAGTAATTTCATTGTTTTTGCATATATAGTTTCATTGGAGCCAAGGAGGTACGACGTTTTTAATTGTTCTATTTCCCTTTTCCATATCTTCTGCTCCATAACGTTTACTACACTGTTCCAAAGATTAACGTGCTATAAAGATCAACATAATTAGTATGCTACGTACGATCAATGGTGTTACTGTTCTGCTCCTCATGGTGTTACTGTTCACTTTCGGGTAGCTGATAACTGCTGGAAAAATGTTATGGATATAATGCTATGTACTATTGTCCTAAAATTGGTACTTAGTCCCGATCATATTAGGGTCCGCCATTAATCTAAAGACAATGACTGATCAGATGAACAAATCTGCTCCGATCTAAATTTTCAGGGTTCGGGTTTTAGACTTATCAATATCTATTCTGATCTGAATTGTACGTGATTGCACATAAATATTTGATGAAAATTTAGTTAATAGTAAATAAAATTTAATTGAAAACGGAAGTAAAATGCCAACATTCGAAGCTAATTAAGCTATTTAGATCGGATGAAAGACTCAGAATGGATTTCTGATTTTAAAAGATCAACATTCGAAACTAATTAAGCTATTTAGATCGGATGAAAGACTCAAAATGGATTTTTGATTTTAAAAGATTTGTACCAGGATTAACCAAAAATATAAACATTCATAGTTCGTTCTACGCAGAAATTAAATCATGTTTTTCAGAAGAAACCTAAAAACTAGAAGTTCTGCAAATAAAAAGCCTCATATATATACTTCTAATTGCTAGATAAACAAATAGGTTCAAAAGTAAATCAACCCTAATAGTGCCCTGGTTCGGATGAAGAAGGTGGTGATGTCTTGTCTTCACCATGATCAGTACTTGGACCACTTCCATCGCCATTGCTACCGCCACTACCTCCTCCTCCTCCTCCCCCTCCTCCTCCTCTTGGAAGCTTGACGAGAGCAAAACACAGTTCTCCATTAACCCTAAACGCCCATAGTTGCATAACCATTCCTGGTTTAAGACCATGCTTTTTCTGAATCATTCTCCACGTAGAGTTTATCACATAACATGAGCTAGTTTTGCCTGTTTCCTTCTTCATCTCCCACCTCCTGAACCCTACTTTCCACTTTTCAAGCGAGGGACCAATCAAGGTCACTTCCATGGCAGCCACAGCCTTCCCGTTATGATTTTTAAGGTAGTTTTTCTCAGAGTCGTCGAGAAACTCAGACCTTACTTGTCTCAACGGAATCGAAAAGCGGTTATGACCAGAACTTGTGTCTGTCGAAAACAATGGCTTCTGTATCACCAACACAGCGTCCTTCTCCGAACCACCCATCTCGCAAATACGTTCTCTGAATTCAATAGGCAATGGGGGTGGTGGATTTGGACCCTGATCAGTAACTTTTTTCGTCACACTCTTGCTGATCTTATTCTTCTTCTTGACCTTATAATCTTCATCACTGTCATCAAATTCAAATTTGTGTCGTTTCAAATCCTTTGGAGACATCTTTCGTGGGATCTCTACAACTGGTTTCTTGAGCAATCTCTCTCTCCTTAGGACCTCTTCCCTGGAAATACCATCTGGGTATGCCATAACAGCCCTCTTCGAAGACTTCTCTTTCGTCAACCTTTCACCCTTCGATATATCAAGCACACCAGAGAAAGGCCTACCGAAGAACTCGTTCGCCTGAGTTTTCTTTAGCAATCTTTCCCTGTTCACATTCTCTTCTCTGCACACACCCTCTGGGTATGCCATTCCAGGCCTTGTCGATGAGTTCTCTTTCTCTGCCTCGGACTTACCCTTGAGGATTGGGTTTGTCATCATAATAGGTCTCACCCATGCCTTCTCTTTCATCGCCCTTTCAACCATCGATGGTTCAAGCTCAAGCTCAAGCACCTGAGATAACATCTGATTGAAGTACTCATCAGGTGCATCTTGATTGTAATACAAGTCTGTATCGTCTAATACCATCGGCTTCTTTCCCTTGTTGGAACATTGAAGAACTGAACCTGACACAGAAGGCTTTTCAGAGGACTCGTCGTCACCGGACGTGGTGGGTTGGCCGGTAACAGGCGGTGGCTGCTGATCCTCCACCCTACTTTCTTGCAACTTTTCTTCATCGTATTTGATCATCGCAGCCATTACTAGCCATTCGAATTTATCAAGCGAAGGATCGGGTTCAATACCCTTCGTCATATCAGCTGTCAATGGCGGAGTAAGAAATTTGTTGTTTGTTAAGGGCGAATTGTTGAAAAGTAAAAGAGAAGAAGAACCCATATGCATATATAGCAGAGAACCTAACTGGTTTTTGATTTTTAGGAGGAATGGGAGTTCTAGCTTGATCATACTAGTAATAATCCTTTACTTTCCAAACCTTTCCTAATAAGATTTTTTGTAATTGATTATACGCGGGATAGTATTTGTGGGTTGAAGTTGCTCGGAAATCAAACTTTTCCTAATTAGAATTGGGGGTGTTTTCTCCAAAAAGCAACGTTTATTGGGCTGAGTTTAGTGGTGAGAGTCCGGTCGTATCGTTCGGGCCGAATTTTAGTCAATTCTATTTCTAACTCGGTTGAATAATGGTGTTAATTTATTTATTTTTGTGTCATTCGTATTGAAAAATATAACCCGTATATAAAAAATTTAAAATCAATTTTATGTCTAAAATTTCATTATTACTTAATCGAACTTATGGTCATATTTTTTTTTATAAACTAAAAAAAATGAGTAAAATAAATATAATAATAATAATAAATGAGGATAATATTTTTTTCAAGAATTAATTCACTATTTGGAAAAATATAATAAAAAAATAGTATTTTATTTTTATAATACTACTTCAATTTATGAATCATGTCAATTTTTTATTATTCATGTTTGATATTAACCCAACTTATTTCTTTTTTGTGTTAACAAGTTGTGTCATAAGCGGATTTATGTTGAGAAATGATTAATTTTAACGTGTTAATTTCGTATCAATTTTGAATCGTATTATTGTGTTGTGTCAAAAACTAGCACCCCTAACTAAGTAGGAGCTGGAGAAGATATTTAAGTCTTTCTGGCCGAGCTTGAATGTGCATTGAAGCCGACCTTTCCAAATTAGATTGGGAGTTCTTTCCTAAATTTTAGCAATAATGACCTTTGATGAAAAGGTAAATTTATCTGAACCTGCAGGAGTAGTTCAATGACTGAACTTGGTCCCTGATAACCTAAATATCTCAAGTACAATATTTTTCGTATTCTTAGAGCTGTTCATTCTTATTTCTCATGAGACATGTTCAAAATTTGCTCAATCTATAATAGTTAGTATTCGAGCTCGGGAGAATAGTCAGTACAAACTTAGATCCCAAAAAAAAAAAAATTAATTTGGATATAGTGTTTACATGACTACATAGAAGTCTGGTTTTGTAAGGCCTTTTTATTACAGGTAGTTTGTCCGAGAATCACAATACACCGGAGCCATGAATTTTTAGAGGTGTTTGGTTGGGGGAACTGCGGTACTGGTACAAAAAATTACAATTTTATACGGGAAAGGTATAATTTCTTTGAGATATAAGTTACAATTTTAAATGGTATGATCGATCATGGAATATTGATATCAATATCGCATTATTCATGATTGATCACGGGTGTTTGTAATTAATCATGACATCTTTTGAACAATTGTAATTTCTCCTTTCAAAATTGTAACTTTACCATACAAAATAATAATCGGCGATATCGATATAAAATTTTTTTTCCAATACCATTGAGTTTCCTTTGGTTGAAATACAACATGGTACATGCTTGAATAATTGAATAATTAGCTAATTTTTTTATTTTATATTAATATTATTTA